AGAACTGCTCCACCTAACCCACGAGGACTCCAATATATAAAGACCTCACCCCCCAGGGGCAAAGGTATGCTAAAAAATGATGCAAAATGCTGAAGGAAGAGGTGGTAATCCCTGCTCTCTAGCTCTCTCATTCTCTAATATCATTCTTCAGGTTCTCTTTACTAAGTGCTAACTTAGCCATCGGAGTGACCTTGCCGGGTAAACACCCCCGGGTCCTCTGACATCCGGTTCCTTGCAGGCCTCTAAAAGAGCAACAGAGCTCAAGGTAGCTCACCTCCAAGCAGCTCATCAAGGTAGCTCACCACCAGGCAGCTCATCAAGGTAGCTCACCTCCAAGTAGCTCTTCAAGGCAGTTCGCCACTGGGTAGCTTGGCACCAGGCAGCTCGCCAATAGGCAGCTCGCCACCAGGCAGCTCGCCACTAGGCAGCTCGCCACCAGACAGCTCGCCACCAGGGAGCTCGCCTTCAGCCCCTGAGTCACCGACCACATGGGAGCGGACGAGATGACGAGGTACTTAGCCAAAAAATTGATACATCACGAAAAAATGATACGTGACCAAAAACGGTTACATCAAATATCTAACACCTTTCTCTTGAAATCTCTGATTTTTCTTCCTTCCCTTTGCTATTTCACCATTACAATCCCCATCTTTGTTTGGAACTACATTAGGCTGAGACGCAAGCTTCAAACTAATCCCCTGGACTGAGGCAGACGATGATAGACGAGTCGACTCGTCCCCTCTATCGAGTTGTACGCAGGCCCTTCCCCTCGAGTCACATGACCACTTAAGTAGTCACATGACCTATTGTTGTTAATCCGACCAGAATTTACGATCTAGATTTAAAATCTAGAATTTACGATCTTAAATTCTAGATTTTCACCAGAGATGGGTATCTGATTACAGGATAAATGCCAAATCTCCGCATTTACCAAGCCATCTGGAGAGTCTACCACTTCGGTAGTGGAGATCTCAACATCTTCGTCAAAACCAAATATCACAACCTTCAAATCATCGAAGGCCTTGATACTCACATGGCCCTTTAATCTAAATTTCTCCACACAATCGCCTCCAAAATCCTTCCCCAATCAGTAATTCGTTTGTCTGATGATCAAATCACATTTTTCTCCCATGCCCCTTTTTCCATTTCCAATAAGCTGGTTTTGGTTTTAGCATTCTACTGGCAGGTGTTGGGCCATGCTACTTTTTCTTATTTGATAAGATAAGCACCAACTTAGCATTTTGCACTTAAGGCTCAGTTTGGAAGGAGTGCAAATACAAATATGTAGAGTGCAAAATCTTATATTTTGTATTATTTTTTATGTATTTGTACTGTACATATTTGCATTTGCACTCTTTCCAAACTCATATATATATGACATACTATAGTTTTGCATATGAATTGGTCAATTTTTAATTGGTGATGAATGTCAGTTTTGTTAACCTATCAAAAAGATCGGGTGCTATAAAGACAGTTTCCCATGGAAACAAAGGGAGCCTTGGACTCCCATATCAGCATAGAATCTAGGGCTGCAAGTCGGGCTAGGTTAGGTTGGGTTGAGGCCAACCCTAACCCAACCCTACGTTCTAAACCCCCAACCCAACCTTCAACCCGACCTACTCAACCCTAACACTAACCCTAACTAATTCCTTCAACCCTAACCCTAACCTAACCCAACCCGATGTCAACTTCGGGTTGGGTTGGGCTCGGGTTGGGCCCAACCCAACCTTCCCATCCCTTAATCTAGTAGAAAAATAAGTATTTATTTATCATGAGTTATGAATCAAGCAAATAATTTGAATCTATTTGATAGGTCACACATAAAAATTACAAGACAAAAGGAAAAGATAGTAGTCAAGTACCTATGAATAACTTAAAGAAAGGCATGATAGTATGTAGGGGGGGCTATACAACTATCATGCATCTAAACAAATCTGTGTATGTGTGTCTATATATATATGACATGTAGTAGAGTTGTAGACTAGTAGACTAATAGTCTAGTACTATAGGGGGTCGGGTTCGGGTTGCCCGAGGGGTCAACCCAAACTAAGGTCGGGTTCAAGAATTTCAACCCTAACCCTAACCCGATCATCAACCCAGCCCAACCCAACCCGACTTTTTTGGGTTGGGTTCGGGCCAACCTGGCCCAAGTTGCAGCCCTAATAGAATCTTTTTCATCCTAAAATATGTACTTCTGATCTTCACTTTTCCTCTCCATCTCTAGCAAAGGTCAAGGTCATACGCCTCTCTTTTTTGGCAAGGATAGTAAATGGTATTAGTATCAGAAGATGCAAAACTATCTATCATCAATTATAGCATTTCAACTACGAAAAAAAGTATATCCAGATTCAATTCGTTAAATTCTTTAAGGATGACTACTTGGAAAAAGAAAACTACTTCAGTCTTTTCTATCACTGCTTCTATAAAACAGTGGTCATCTTCAAAATCTGATTACGGAATATTACTGCATCTAGACCCTCAAACACATGAAGATTACATGAATGCTTCTGAAAGAACAGTTGACCATTTTAATGGACTGTTGTTCATTGGATAGCCTACCCAGCCTGCCTTATAGATGAGTAGGGTCTGCTGAAGATTTTTTCTCTTTATCTAAGTCCCCATAAATATAAAGGATTTTATCACTCTGTATAGGGGTTTTAGCTTTAGAGGGGCACTTTGATTCCTTGGTTCTCTTAATGGAAAGTTGTAGAATAACCAAATGCAATCCATCACAATTTGAATTGGTCAATGAAGGGAACCTTGTGTACTGTTACATTTGAGAGCATTGTTTAGAAAATCAAACAGGATTGGCCGGTTGGATCGGTTGAACCATGACCAGGGTCCATGGCCAGTTTGATCATGCCCCGAAAACTGTGATTCATGAAAACTGGCTGACTGACCGGTTTAACTGAAAAACTGGTGAACGTGTCCCAGTTTTATGAAACCACTTGGGTCACAACATGAATAGAAACTTCAAAATGGTAATGACAAGACTTAAATCCAAGACCTCTTACTTAATGTGTATTTTCTTGTTACCATAAATCCATCTCTTTGTTTGCATTTATTTGCGCCTATTTAATGTATATACTATATACTGCTCTAATACACACTAGTTTAAAGAAAATATGAATTGAGAGACTCTAACCCTGGTCATTTATTTTAGGGTAAATTGCAGATAGGTATCCTGCACTTGAAGTAAGACTACCCCCAAGTATAGGGCACCCATCTGCAATTCACCCTTTATTTTAATTGCTTAAAAGCTTAGCCATCGATCCACCACATGCAAGTGCAATAATATTTTACAAATATATTTTATTTAGTATTTATATGACCTGCAAAATATATATGTATATGCCACGTCAATATGATTCGACCTTCGACTGCAATTGAACCTCTGACCTGTGAACCTCTCTCCCTTTTCCAGTTCAATGCTCGGTCTGGTTCTCTCAACATTGTTTGAGAGTGTGCCCATGAGGACAATTAAGTCATTAGATAAAAGGGGATCAAAGACTTTACGATATTCATGCAAGTTGAAGGTTCTAGCACAAAGAGAAATCCAAAACTAACCCATGTTCAGCTAGTGTTGGCTTATTCTTTAGTGGCAAATTTAGTGTTTTAAAAGCACAAGACAAAAAAAAAAAGTGCAAGGGGCATTTTGCACCTCAAGTGCATGGTGCAAAAATGCAAATAAATAAATAAATATGCCAAAAATGCAAAAAAAAATAAAAAACAAAAATATTAAACATAATATTAATTAAAAATATAAACTTAAAATTTTAAATAAATGTTTTTAAAAACTATTATCTCAAATTAAAATATATAAGCATACCATGTAAAACATATTCAAAATGAAAATTTAAAAATAAAATGAAACATAACATATAAAACATATTCAAGCATGTAAAACTCTCAATTTCTTTAATTTTTTCTCAAGTGCATTTTTCAAATAGTTAATACAATGTTAAACATTTTGAATTCCTGTTCTAGGAGCCACCACCCGACCAAACCCCTTGAGGTAAGCCCAAACAAGTCCATGTTAGGTTCTCAAATTCTTAATCCCTACAAAAAAAATGATTTTATAATTTTAATTGCCTTTTAAAAAGATATTTCAGAAGGTGCACACCTGGGCTGAAGTGCAAGGCGCACCAGGCATGCACTTTTTGAAAGTGCTGCACCCGGGATCTAGGCGAGGTGCATACCTTATATTGCACTTCACTTGTGTGCCTAGGCACACCTTTCAAATCACCAGGCAGATATGTTAGAAAAATGGAGGGACAGGGTTTCATACTGGCACCCCACATAGGTGGGATTGGGCAAACGATGGTGACCACAACAAACTTTTTCTACTTACCAAAACCTGTTTTTTGGTTCCAGTAGTGACCTGAGGCAAGTTATAGAATCTAAAAGAGATATGGACAGTCCAAAAAGATTTATTTGGGTGGAACTGTGGAAGGGGAATAGATAAAATTATATGATTTATATATTTTTACAGTTTTTTGTTCCAGTAGCGATCACTAATTAACAATGGAATATGGCCCTTGATAGAGTGGAATGGTGAAATAGGATTTATGTAGACTAACATATAGTATAGTTAGGGTTAAGCTTTGTTGAGTTGTATTGAGTTGAGTTAAGCTTATTGTTTCAGCACCTGCTAAAAGATAGACAGTAGAAAAACAAGCATGACAACCAAATGTCTAGGGTGTGACCCTATACACATTCTTTATGTTGATTCCACAATGCTAGCATTAGATATTTTTAGATATTTTAATTTTCACTATCTTAAATACGATTTATCAAATATTAATAAGACATATGCCCACTTATATAATGAGGTTGACAATGTTGACAGGGTCACCTATCTGTTTCATTAAAAATAACTTAAGCAATCTAGATACTTTTTGCTACATCAACAACTAAAAGAAAGAATAATAATTGCAAGAGACAGTGAATCATAGACAAAACCAACCAAAGGAGTGAAAGGGAAAGATAGGTGCACATACCTGCATAAAAGACTTCAAAAATGGAGTTGCAACCCCAAAGCTTGAGGTATCATCTAAGTCGAGCTTTGGAGTGAGTTCTCCACTTGAATAAGTTTTCCAAGAACTTCTAGAAGATAGATCATTAGAGGATGTCGGAAGAGGTAATTTAGTTGTCCCTTTTGAAGACAATGCCGGAGCACTAGACAGCCACCACAAAATTGTAAGAAAATATTTAGATACTTAGAAGCATCAAGATTCTTCAAGGTAAAATAAAGTCAAATCTAGTAGATAGATTAAAATCATCAAGTCGACCTAACAAGCATCAAGCATATCTTTCCAAAGAAAATAATAACACCCAGAAAAACAAAATGGAAATAAAAGAGGTGCAAAAAAATGTCAAGCTGCCTGATATAAATGATCAACATGGCTTTTATAACACTGAAAAATACAGGGGAATATAAGGATTCAAATGGGAGAAGGTAAGGGAAAATGGAAGACACAAATTGAAGAATATTGAGGATGGTACCCAGGAACTAAAAAATTAAGAGAAAATTAGGAACAGAAAATGGAGAGGAAAGAAACAACTCTAAATGAGTAATAGTTAGAGTTGTTGAGAAGATATATAAGAATAAGTTCTATTCTGGAAGATTGCCAAGTATTATGAACATAAACAAACTCCAAAAGAAATGAAAAGGTGGAACTAGAAGAGGGAGAAGCAAAGCAAGTTTGGAGAAGCTCAATGAAAAGTTAGGGATAATCTTAGGATAGTTTATTCTTCTCTAATGAGTGAGGGAGGGGAAATTGCATCATGAAGGGGGAAGTTGGAAGAAGGGTTGATTTGGATAACAAAGACTGAGAGAGGGTCAGAGAGGATTTGATGTGGCTAGAACTGGTGTTCTAATCTATGGAGAAAATAAGGAATTGGGTAGGGAGCTCAGTAATATGATAAATGGGGTGTGCAAGAAATTTCCAAGGGGAGAAGATAGTTTTGTCGTCATTTATATGGGAATGCCAAAGGTGGGGTTGATTTTGTCAGATTGCAAGATGCTGTTATAAATTCTCTGCACATGGTTTTCTGGTTTCCAGAGTTGGGCAGAAGATGATTTGGGTGAAAGATAATTGAGATCTCTCTATCAGAAAAGGTGGCTGAAGAGGTACTTTTGTTTCCAATTCTAGATTTTTGACCAAGTTGTTTCAAGTTTGTTGTGAAAGTTTTTTTTGTTTACGTATGGTGAAAGAGGAGGTGGATTTTGATTGCAAGTTGGGTTCAGAATGTTGAGTGTTTCCTCAACACTCTCTTTGTAATCTATTTTTATTTTAATAAATCATCTATTATCATACGTCAAAAAATAAAAACAAGAATGTTATCAGGCATTCAAGTATAGAATTTGTAAGCTTGTCAAGTTTCTAAAGTCTGTGGCTAAATTCTAGATTATTCCACATAAACTTGATAACCAGTTCAGAGTATAGCAGGGGAGTCATCATGTACGTAAGCAGTACATAAGATAAACAATAAGCTATAGAGTGACAAACTATATAAACCTATGTCAAATTATCAAAAATAAAAGCCCAATCTAAAGATATGAGCGTCAACCTGATTGGAAGGTATTTGAAACGTGGAACCGTAGAACATCGCATTACATTTGACTCTGAATTAGTGGGTAATTTTTGCACAGTATCCGTGTACATACGATTCGGTTGTACAAAGAACCCAAAGAGGACAGCATGTCTTAGGTAACACTGCTTCTCATTCTGCCAGAGGTAAGGCTCATACCTGCAATTCATTGAAGCCAGAAACAATAAACATGCTAATGTACATTTTAGATTAATCTAAGCACTCCTAAAAGGTCACACCAATTTTATAAAAGAAAAGAATTGGTTCTCTATGCTCCTGGCCAGATGTCATGCACATCTGTTGGGATGAGAGGGGCCCCTTGATGTAATTACTTTATCAATAAATTGATGAATCTAATAAGCTCAACCATAATAATTTTCCATGTAAAAATCACCTTATTTTTCTTGAGAATTTCAATACAACAAATCATATGATTTTGAACAAATGAATTTTTGGCCCACAAATTTCCTTAGATACCTGCAATGTGCACCGAACAAACAAAATAAACAGCTTTTTTTCACCATCACCTCCTCAGTGTGAACTCTTTATTGACCACATTTCCAATCTGAGCAGCTCATACTATTTCTAATATATCATAAAGAAAACAAAATAATAATAATAATAATAATTTTGAGCTAGGAAGTCATGTTAAACAAAATCATTTCATTTGGTTTTCCATAGCAATTAAACCCCATAACTTCATTATATGAGACATAATCAATACAAGAGTATTATTAGAGAATAGAAATAGGGTTTAGACCTACATTTAGGTAATATCACCATATGTTAGTTATGGAGATAAATCCCGACAAAAGATAAGGGGAAAGGTAAAAGAAAGAGAAATAACTCACGTGAGCCAATCTATAGGATCCAGCATCTGAGAAAGACGATTTGTTAACTGCATGACAGTGTCTCTAATGGTAGAATTCTGCTTATTCTGGTCCTGCTTCCATCTGAAAGAAAACCTTTTTGATGACTCCGAAGTCATGTTCAAATCACCCCCCAAAAGAATATCAGCAGTGAATCTTAAGTCTAATAAAATCTGCAAGACTCCTTTTTCTGATACATTAGAACTGCGAGTCTCCAAATTTGTAAGGAAGTCCCCATAAATACCAACTACCTACAAGATGCATTTCAATCAGTACAAACATAAATGAGAAGAATACTTATAGGTCACAGATAAGCAGACCGTTTTCATTACAGGAGTAAATTCTAATTTAATCAGGTTAAATTAGTTCATGCACTGCATCAAAGGATTTTAGTTGGTTCCCTTGGATGGTATTCTTACTCAAAAATCACCCAAAAAAAGGATTTCAGTTGGCTAGCCGGCGTGTGCTTTATGAATCAGACAAGATGTGCTTCATTTATGCTACGGATGCAGCATTACAAAATTTGTTTAGGGTTTCTTTTTCTGACTTGTGTGACCTGGAATACTGTTCATCATAATTACCAAAATACCACTGCCTATCTTGTGCATCAAGAAACATGCTAACTTCCCACCTAACGCAATTATATTGAAAATTAAAAGATAAACCCTACTAAACAAGAACAAGATACCATGGGCTAGGTCCACATGACTAAACAAAATGACAAAAATGCTCCTGACTAGATCAGTCCAATTCGCAAGAGTCTTCCCGATGCTAAACCAGAACCTGTTTATTGGCATTCTTCTATGAGAAGAGATCTTATAAGGCCTGGTTTGATCCCTATCAAGTAGAGGAATTTGACATGTGGAAGTGGCAGCATTGCCCCAATTCTCAACGTCTAGCAAATGTATGATTAAGGCCAGCTTGAAGAACTTCTTCCTTTAGTCTGATACTGAACGGTGGAGGTGTAGTAGGGCTGGAATAAGCTGACACAAGTTGGAGAGAGAGAGAGAGGGAGAAAGAAATCCTAAGGAATCACTCCAAGGGTAGAATCACTCCATACAGCAAACTTGCAAGAGAGCTCTAAAGAAATCTTCATTAGCTTCAAAAGAGTATATCTATTTAATTATTTATAGACTAGCTTGTGCATCTCATAATCTGTTCATCATAATTACAAAGGGCAAAGAGCCTAATTTGGTTGAAAGTGGTGATGACCTGTGGTTTCCTAAGAAACCTAGAGTGTCGAGTAAGTTCAACGTAGTTCATGTCACGCAGGTTTTTTCAAGGCTGAGTGATGGTCTAGTGAGAGCAGGGCCAACCAACAAGTTTGTTTTAGGATTTTCGTTTGGTCAATGGAGCGATTTAGAAGTGAGTTGAAGCAGATTTCGATGGCCGGGGTTGCTCCAGTAGATTGATTCCATTTTAATTGGAGTGACAACAATTAAACTAGATGGAACAAATTACTTGGCTTGGGCACAATCTATAAGGAATTGAGTTTGTAGTAGAGGTAAATTGAGGCATCTCACAGGTAGTAAGAAGAAACAGAAAGAGACTGATCCTAGATAAGAAAAATGAGCTCCCCCTCCTCCTCCAATTCATCCTCCCACGTTTACTTTTCACCCTATTCTCCAACGATGGCACCAAAGACAAAGATTAAGGTGTGAGCATGCTGTTCCCCTTCCTTTAGTTGAGCCTCTTCCACCTACCATTAAGAAGAAAAACAGTCTTTTGAGAATAAAAGACTGTTTAGAACAGATGCAGAAATCAAAATAAAATAACAGAAATCATTCTTCTAAGGAAGAGAAGATGAAGAAGAAGATGGCAGAAATAAGGGTTCAGAGTAAGAGAGTTTCGAACCTTAATCTCTACTCTTACACCCCTAACACTATTTTATTAAGTTAAACTTTGATAATTTACAAAGAGGCCCTTAGTTGGGCAAGAAATTAAAAGAATATAACATAGAAAGAATAGGCCCAAAATAAGGCCCATTACAGCAAAGAACATAAAAAAATAAAAAAGGATAAACAGCCTACTCCCCCTCAAGCTGAGCATAGATGTCAATCATACCAAGTTTGCCAGTATCATGCTGAAGTTTAGCCTTGGGAATGCCCTTGGTGAGGAAATCTGCTAACTGTCCTTCAGAGGTGATGAAAGGTAGACATACTTCACCAGAAGCCACCCTTTCTCGAATGAAGTGTCTGTCAACTTCAATATGCTTAGTTTTGTCATGTTGTACTAGGCTGTGAGCAATGTTGATGGCAGCATGATTATCACAGTATAACAACATTGGCTTACATGCTCAATCCCCAGTTCCTCCATCAATGATTTTAACCACAATAGTTCAAAAACTCCATGTGCCATGGCTCTGTATTCTGCTTCTGCTGAAGATCGAGCAACAACAGATTGTTTCTTGCTTCTCCAAGAGACAATATTACCCGCCACCAAGCTGCAGTACCCAGAAGTAGATCTTCTGTCATCAATGTTCTAGCCCAGTCAGCATTTGTATAAGGGAGCCCTTCAAATAACACAAAATTCGCTCTGTTGCTGCCATATGAGTATCCCAGGGAGCATGCATGAATTGGCTTATGCAACTGACAGCATATGCAAAGATTTGAGAAGAAAAGATTTGAGATCATTAATTCCGGAAACATCATTACCAGTCACAACAATATCATCAACATACACAATTAGGTAAACTGCTAGGAGTTCTCTCCTCTTCACAAAGAAAGTATGATCAGACTGTGTCTGTACATAGCCAAAGTTAACAAGGGCAGCCCTAAACCTCTCAAACCATGCTCTAGGGGATTGTTTGAGTCCATAAAGAGATCTCTTCAGCTTGCATACCTTTCCTTTCATATCTATTTCATACATCCCTGGAGGAAGAGACATATAAACCTCCTCATGTAATTCTCCATTCAGAAATGCATTCTTTACATCTAGTTGATAAAGTGGCTAGTCAGAGTGAACAGCCAAAGATAGAAGAACTCTCACAGAAGTCATCTTGGCAACAGGGGCAAATGTCTCCAAATAATCAATCCCATATGTCTGTGTATAACCTTTTGCAACCAGCCTAGCCTTGTACCTCTCAATGGTGCCATCAACATGATATTTGATAGTAAAGACCCACTTACACCCAACTGGATCCTTCCCTTCAGGCAAACCAACCACTTCCCAAGTGTCATTCTTGTGCAGGGCATCAATTTCGGATCTCATAGCATCCCTCCATTCTAGAATATTAAGAGCTTCTGACACAGACCTGGAAATTGGGTTAGAGACAACAGAAGAAAGGTAGGCAAAATATGAAGGAGAAAGCAAACTATAAGAAAGGTGTTTGGAAATGCAATGTGCAGTACACTTCCTTCTTCCTTTCCTAATAGCAATGAGAATATCAAGGTCTGGGAAGGATGGCTCCAAAGGGGCTGAAACAGTACATGTTGTCTCATCTGTAACTGGAAGTGCATGAGGCTCATGTGTTGTAGGGGAAACAACCCGCATATTTCTGGATATTTTCCTTTGATACATCCTGAGATTAAAAAGAGGACGAGGAGGTAAAGGGGGAGGAACACTGGGACAGGAAGAGTGGAATGATTGATCCTCCCTTGATTCATTTGAAGGAGGAAGAGACTCTGTAAAAGACTCAACTGGGACAGGAAGAGGAAGAGCAAAGACCTGTGACAAATCCTCCCCCTTTGGACAATGTCCCTCCATAGAGGAACCATAAAAGGAAGAAAGCTCATCAAAGGTGACATCCATTGTGACATATCGAGTACCAGTCTTTGGATCAAAGCAACAGTAACCCTTCTGTGTGGGGGAATAACCAAGGAAGATACACTTGTAGGCTTTTAGTTCAAATTTATGTCTTTGGACACTAGGGATATGTACATAACAGGTGCAACTAAAGGCACGAAGAGGAATAGAAAAAAGCTCATTGTCCGGATAAAGGAGACTGAAAGGAGACTTAAACCCCAAAACCCTAGATGGCATACGGTTTATAAGGTAGGTAGCAATGAGAACAGCATCACCCCAAAACTTTGTAGGAACATGTGAGGCAAACAGGATACTTCTTGCAACTTCAACAATATGTCTATTTTTTCTTTCAGCAACTCCATTCTGTTCTGGGGTCCTAACACAGGAG